TCTTATTATTATTATTTCATGTAATCATGTATTTAATCAGTTTAAGTTTTTGCTTTCCTTTTACTCAATAGTTTTTTTCCTTTTTTCCTCTTCCCCATTTTTACTTCTTCCCCGTTTTATGCATTAGTATTCGATGAATTGTCTTTTAAAGATTATTATCCCACATTACTCGTTATTATTTTATTTATTTTTCATTTCAAATTTAATTTTCTTTTCTTTACATTCTCATTTTCTTTCTTTTTTTTCCCTATTCACCTACCTAAAAAGTATTTTTTTCTTTGTCCCTTTTCAACTCTTTTGTTTTCACTTGCTTTTGACATGTCAGTGAATATTGACAATTTCCTGATGTAGATTTCTTCTTACTTTTCCCCTTTTTCAGATAATGTTTCTCACATCTACTAATCCACCCTTCTTCGTATGAAGAGTATATGTAAATTTTTCTTTCTTACATTTCCCGATTGTTTTGTTTTTCTTTTAATTTTATAATTTTCCTAATCTTTTTTTCCCAAGGAACTTTTCCAATAGTTGATGGAATTTAGGAGGAACTTACGTAGAAAAATACTATGGTGCAAAAAAGGAGAAAAATATATATTAATGGTGGATTAAGGTAACAAGAAACAAAACACACACAACAAATTAACAAGGACAAAAAAGGGGAAAATGAAAATAAAAAGTAAATATAACCAAAAGTAAAGTGGGAAAAGATCTTTAATAAAAAGAGAATGATTAAAAACAAACGCATAAAAAGGAAAATGAAATAAAAATACGGGAAGAAAAAAATGACAAAAAATCTGTCCGGAAAATAAATTTTACAAAAAAAATCTTATAATAGACTGAGAATTAAAATAATTAATAAGGAAAATAAATAAAAACAAAAGGATGAAAAAAGGATTAAAAAGTGTCTAGGGATAAAAATAAAGAGAAAGAAAATTTTTGGGTGGAAAAAGAAAAAATAAAACACAGGATTGTTTTGAGAATATTTGTGAAATGTGAGATTATTTATGTATGATTTACAGGGACGGAGCCAGGAACCGGTGTCAGTGGTGTCAATTTAACAAAGAACTATTTTTAAGCAGAATACTACTACCTCCGTCCCACTATGTCTGGGACATTTCGTTTTACGATGTTTAACCGACGATAAAGAAAACTGATTCTTGTACGCACTCAAACTATTTTTGGAAAATAAAAATCACATATTTAGAAACTACATAAAAAAACTTTACAAAGTCGCAAAAACCAGAATCAAATTTGATATATAAAATAAAGGGAAAATCGCACTTTTAGCCCCTGAAATAGTCACGAAAATGAAATGTTCGACCCGTATTCCCAAGTTTGTAAATGTCATCCCTCAATTGTCCTAAATGCCCTAAATGCGGTCCATTCAGGGGTGAAATATACAATGTGGGCGAGAGTACATTTCACCCCTTAAAGAACCACATTTACAACAATTTGGACAATTGAGGGTGACATTTACAATATCAGATATACGGGTCCGACATTTCATTTTCGTGACTATTTCAGGAACTAGAAGTGCGATTTTCCCTAAAATAAAAGATTAAAAGTGATTTGTATTGACCAAGTGAAAAGTGTCTGAGACAATCTTTGCGTAACGGAGGGAGTATTATATAATAATTTATAAACACATAAAGGCATAAAGCAGACATAGCAAATATTGTCGTTCTTTGGCAACTTTAACCAATTCCATAGCGTTAACAATATCTTGATCCATTCTTTGTAAAGATTTTGACAACTCATTTGTTTATCAAGTGTAAGGTGAAAGCAAAATCAAAAGATTGGATCAATTGCAAGAGTGTTTGAACTTCAACTCGTTTTTCAGTTTTAAGTTGATGTTCCAATTTTCAATTGCCTGACTTTCAATTGATTTAAGTTGGTGTTCCAATTTTTAAAATTTTTTACATTGCACCCATTTCTTTAATTAGTGGAGTGGTGTCAATTTATAATTTATGAAACATTACATACGCCTATACAAAGAATTTTTATTCTTCAGTGGTGTCAATTTTAGAATTTTCAAAAATTTTATATACTTACTTATGGGAAAAAAAATTCAGTGGTGTCAATTGACACCACACCTCCCATGTTGGCTCCGTCCCTGATGATTTACAAAGAAAAGACAAAAAAAACCAGTATATAAGATCATCAAACTATCATGGTCCAATGAAAGAAGATGAAATACAAAGGTGAAATTATTTTTGGATTATTATGTGCAGACCAATCAAATGTGAGATTATTATTTTCAATTATTCCTAAAAACTGAACTTTATGCTGAAATTATTTGTATCTTATCAATTTTTATCCGGCCCAACAAGCCCAAGCGTCCGAGAATTGCAAGACCGCAACTAGGGCTGGGATTTTGGAAACGGGAACCGGAGAACCGGATAGAACCGAACCGTTAAGAGCCGGTTCGGTTCGGTTCCTGTTATTGGGTTATGAGTTTTAATCGGTTCGGTTCCTTGTATTTAATAACGGTTCGGTTTCCGGTTTTGGTTTAAAAATTTCCCTTAGAACCGTTAACGAACCGATAAAATTAGGTTAAGTAACTAAGGTGTAGGGCTGGGTTCGAAAAATCGAAAACCAAAAACCGAATCAAATCATACCGAACCGTAACCGAATAAAACCGAACCGCTAACAAACCGAAACCGAATGTAAAAACCGAACCGAACCGTAGTTGTTTGGTTCGATTTTGGTTTTTACCCTTCAAAACCGAACCGAACCGAACCGAACAAACCGAACTAATTAAAATATAAATTTATTTGTCAATTGTTAAGCATTAATCCTAACTAATCCTAATATCATTAATAGTCTTTGGTTCTCTTGTGCTAGAGAAATAATGTTTGTGTTATGTTTAGTTTCATTTATGAATTCATTTACACATTCAGTGCCCATAATAATGTAGCTATACTGATAATATGTTTTTACTAGTTATTCGTATTAATTAACTTTTATTTTTATTTAACTTAAAGAATTCATATTAATGAAACAATAAATATTCATCTCAACTATATCACATAAAACGTATATACTCATGAACTATTTTTGAACTAGTCACAAACAATGTAAATTAATAATATATATACTTTTATCTCTCTCACATACTCATATAATTCATGACATATCTATTTATTTTCATTTATATTTTATTTGTTGTAGTGTGCTTGCATTCTTTATGTAATATATGTTTGATCCCTTAAAGTATTATATCAATTTCAAATCAAATGATATTTTTTTGGTAAAAAACCGAAAAAACCGAAACCGAATCAAAACAAACCGAACCAATCAAACCGTGGTTCCAAGTTTTGAAGTGTAAAACCGAACCGAAACCGAACCGAACTTTTTACTTTGATTCTATATTTGGTTTTAGGTCAAAACCGAACCGCAACTCCGCAAGAACCGAACCCACCCCTACTAAGGTGTAAGGTAGCGTAGACGCGTCTTAGCCATAAGTTAGATCGTAATAGAAATTGCTGAACCTCCAGAGCAAAGGGTCAAAAACGAGCAGAGATCCAGCTGAACCAGAGATGATAGCCGCTTCCTCGGGAAACGTATATGGTACAACCGGCTGTACGGTGAGCACCGTACAGCCGGCCCAATAACAGGCCTAAGAGAAAAATAGAAAAATAATTCGGTGGCATTTTTGTAATTGATGCGAAAATCGCGGTTTCTGCTAAATGAGCATTAGTGTATTGTTAATGAGCAATAGTCCAATTTTAATGAGTATTAAGCGTCTAATAATGAGCACCGTGTTATTACAAGAAAACTGATATCACAATTAAAAAACGGTGTCATTTTCATAATTTCAGTGAAAATTACTGTTTTCGTTCGATGAGCATTGGACGTATTCTACTGAGCATTAAGAGTATCACAATGAGTATTGTGATATCAACTTCATATATAGTGATTCACTTTCTTTTTCTTATTTTTTCTTTTATAAAATCTTATTAAATTATATGTATTATCAATTCCTATGAATTTAAATATGTGAATCTAATGTAATATGATACTTTTGAAATATACATTGTTATGACATTTTAGAAATGAGCACATCAATACCAAATGAGCATATGTAACGTACAAATGATCATTTATATGAAAATCGTAACTTTTGTTAGTTGAGCATCAAGCCTCCTCTATTGAAATTAAGTTCATGCAACTTAGTGAGCATCTGACATGTTTTGTTGAGCATTGGAAGCCTAACAATGAATATCGTAATCTGCTTTCTATATTCGAATTCACTTTCTTTTTCTTATATTTTCTTTTTTAAGAGCTTATTAAATATTATCTATAATCAACTCATATGAACTCCAATATACAAATTTAGTGTAATATGCAACTTTTGGAATATGCATTAATATGACATTTTAAAATGAGTGTAATACCGGTACAAAATGAGCATACATTACTTGCAAATGAGCAATGATATCAAAATGGTAAGCTTTGTTAGTTGAGTATCAAGAGATTGTCATTGAACATCAAATTTGCTCTATTGAGTATCAAAAGCATGCAATTGAGTACCATGACTTTCCCATTATATAATCTAACTCCTGTGCGTATCTAATATGATACTTTTAAAATATGCATTAATATGAAATTTTAAAATGAGCATAAAACAAGTACCAGATGAACATACATGGTTTACAAAATGATTATCGAAAAACTTAAAAGCTCGTTTGAGTTCTCTAATATGTTCGAGTGTTTATTTGTGCATATTTAGTTTACACTATACTCATTTTAATATAACAAAAAACTCATATTAGTAATTGACACACAATATTTAATAACTAATAAATACTTATCTTAAAAGTAAAAATAGAAAAACAAAACATATATACCTAAAAAAACAACAAATTAAAAAAATGATATTAGAATGATGATTGAAAAAAGGAGAGAGAAAAAACTTGATACCATATTAATATTTTATATTATAAATTTTCATAATGATTGAATAAAAACTAAAGCAAAAGGTTCTTGAATTAAAAAGTAAAGAAAAAGAGAAAAAGAAAACAACAAGTAAAAGACTAACCTAGAGATGAAGGAACGAAAGAAACAAACGAAAAGAAAAACTACAAAAAGCAGAGCAAACAATGTGCGGACTGAGGGCCTGCTGCTAAGAAAAAACGCCGACCGAAGAAGAGTCGGAGAAAGCAGAGCACCGTAGCTATAAGCCTGGAAGTTCAATTTAAGTTCAATTGAAGTTCAAAAATACGGTATAATCTGCCCTTCCTCGCCTTCAACCGCCGCTCACCGTCGACCGCTGCTTCTTCTCTGCCAAATACTTCTCCTTCTTCACTAACCTCCGATACCCATTGTTTACCGCTGCTATCCATCCATATCTAGGTAATGAATTTTTAAGCTAAACATCTGATATTTAATTATTTAATACTTCAAACTCGATTTGTGTGTAATTGTTTTATCAAATATTTGTTTAGTTTCTTTAAATGTGATATTTAGCTTGACAGTTACCAACTCATGAACCCAATACTTGAGAAGGACCATATTTCGTTTATGCTTTCACATCATTTTTTATTCTTCATTCTAAGGTTTGATTTTGGTATATGTTTTGTGTAGAGTTTTGTAGAGTGTATTTGGTTTCTTTATGTTGGGGGTAAATCATGAAGAAGTTTATGTCAAATTGTCTCAATTTTGGGGATGCCTATAAGGTGTTTGTTAAAGTGTCTCTATGAGATATTCTTTCAAGTAATGTTATAATCTGTTCTAGCCTATGAATAACTCAAAGAGCACCACCTAGTGCTGTGTTTTTTTTTTTATAACTATGTAATCTCATATAAAGAATAATGTTGTATTGAGTGTGTATTTCATATTTCTATTAAAGATAGAAAAAACTATCATTTACCCTACTAAAGGGATTAATGGATATTAATCTAGGAGCCTGAATCATAATTCTGAAGAAGAATTTTTATGATATAAATGTGTTGATTTTTAGTGAGTCTGATTGCATATTTCTACAAAACATAGGAGTAGTTATAACTACTCCAAATGTGAGTCTGATTGCTTATAACTACTCCAGTAGTCCAGTCATTCCTAAACCCATTACTTCACTAATTTACAAGTGTATTTGTCTCTTTAATTTGGCTGAACTATGGATTATTAATTTACAAATTGTTAATTTTGGAGCAATTGAAGTGATTACTAATTCACAGATTGTTAATTTTGGAATTATGGACTGAACTGATTGTACTTTTCTAAGCTCCACTTTTTTTCTTTGAGCAATTGAACTTTTATGTATCAATACATCGTAACTTCTTACAATCCTGAACTTTTAAATTTAAATTTGGTGGTTATTTCAAATGGGGTAACAGTTTGATTGATTAAACTTGTGATGTATTTTTTTTTTGTGGCAGAAACTGAAAGTTTATAGTTCTTTTAAGAACCGATAAATGATAAGAACCGAACCGTTAACAATAAGTTCGGTTCCATAACGGTTCCACATTTTTTTGATTGGAACCGAACCGATAACATGAATTGTGATTTTCTTAACGGTTCTTCCGATTTTTAAGAGGAACCAAACCGGTCCCAGGCCTAACCGCAACGCACGAAAAAGACGAAGGCGGAAGGTCGGCCGTTGACTAGTCGCCGAGAGCCGAGTCGCTCAGACACCGACGAAGCAACAGCTGCGACGCCTTCTGCCCGGCCTTGCTGCCTCCTGGTACTACTTATATGTTTATGTTATTTAACTCTTTTATCGATTAGTTTAATTGTTCATATTGTTGTCTTGTTGATACATGATTAATTGATTTGTTGTCTGTTACTCTGTTGATTAGTCTATATTCATCATTTTGATTGTTTTGCGTTGATTTGTTATGCCTTTGTTGATGTTTCTGTTTGTTGATGTGATGATGTCTTAGTTTAATTGATTTGAGTAGTGGTTTTGTTGATTTGCTGATGGCGCTAATTAAGCTATTAGTTGATTAGTTCATAGTTAATTAAACACTTGTAGAATTTTAAGTCATTAGTGTTTTTTCCTCAAAAAAAGTCATTAGTGTTTTTTCTGAATTTCTGTTGTGTAATTAAATTTTGAATTTATGTTAGTGCTATAATTGGTAAGATAAAAATTTTGAGTTATCAATAAATTTACAAATTTAATTAATTTCAAGGTGTAATAAAATGGTTGTATAGAGGAAAAAAGATGAGTTGTCACCCACTTACCACAACACCTTTCTCCTTTATCCTGGTCTAGGACAAGTAAGATGTCAAAAATGAGTCAGCTCCAATGACCGTTCCGCCATCATGCGCGGACCCTGATAATCTTTGCTAGTTTGCCACTGCCTCTTTAACATACCAAACCTCCTCTTCACCCAATTGCAAATTTAGAGGCTAGTTGTCTCATTTATTCAAGGATTGTGGGAAAATGGTTCAGTAAAAGATGTGAAATGAAAAATAATCCTCTTGTATGATACTAGTATATGATTTACATTTCATTGTTTATTTTATTCCATGTGAAATTTAAAGCGATGCATAAAATTTCATTGTTATTTCATAATTGTTATAAGGAGTTTTAGACATTCTTAAAGTATCATTTATCTGATCTTCATCTACAGCTTCATTATCTATATAGTTATCTATCCTCTATCCTTGTGGATCCAATTCATCAACCTCCCCTAATGAAAATGAATTATTTATTTTTAATCAAAAAGTTGTTTTCCTTAACTAGATGATTATAACTTCCAGTTTTTGTGTGAAACATATAGTTAGAAATACTCGTTTTCATTATAAAAGATTTATTTTAATTATACCCGATGCAACCGGAAGTGTAGAAAGAGTTTGAAAGAGCATTCTCTAGAATGAGAATAATTTAAAACTCATTGCCAAATCAAATGAATGATACTCCGTATTTCGTACGTATCAAGTGAGTGATTATTATCCGCACTACCGTATTTTTATTTACTTCTATTTACACTTTTTATGTTTTTTTTTTATTCAAACATCTTTTCATAGAACCTCTCTGTGTTTTAAATTGTAATTATGCTAATTTTTTACCGCCAGGAACATAGTCCGGTTAAGCTACTATATACAACTATAGAGCCTCTCTGTTTCATGTCAGGACCTCCAAAAATGGATCTCTGTACGGACCTCGGCGTTTGGGCACTTTTCCGATGGAATTTATTGATAAATTTTTTTGAACATGTTCTTCATCAAGTCTAGTTTACCCATATCAAATTTCAGCTATAAATTCGATTGGGAAGGCAGTCAAATGATTTTTGGAAGTTAACTGCATTATATATGTATCTAAAGTGCGCAGTTAACTTCAAAAAATCATTTGACTGTCATCCCGGTGGAATTTTTAGCTGAAATTTGGTATGGATACACTAGACTTGATGAAGAACATGCTCAAAAAATTTCATCAAAAAATTCCATCGGGAAGGGGTCCAAACGTCGAGGTCCGTACGGAGGTCCGTTTCCGGATGGTCTTGACAGGAACACTACTCTACAACTATATATGAATATATGGGAGGGTTTTAGTGAGAATCTCTTCTAAAATGACAACACAAAAACTATAAATCTCCATCTTTCCAATTTCAAATCAATGGCTAGAATCAAACCACATTTGTCATAATTTTACAATAATTACACAAAAACCCAATTTGAATTTTGAATAACTACATGACAGAGACCATGTGCATCCTTACCAAGAACTTCCTCCGTTCTTGTTTAGTTACAACATTCACTTTTTCATGTTTTTGAATGCACAACTTTGACCATCATTATATTTTATTATGTATTAGACTATTAGTAAAAAACATTAATAATAAAAAAAAGATTATGAAACTTAGTAATGAGACGAATTCAATCATATTTTTCAAAATAATAGTTCACACATGTTAATAAATAAAATGTAGTCAAAGTAAAGTACATGAATAGTGTATAAATTGCAATGTTGCAACTAATGCAATAGTGAGGATACTATGGAGTAAAATGAAAGGTTTTGGTTAACAAGTTTTCATCATTGCAGGAGGATTCCAATGCTACCATTTCCCTGGAGGCTACCAAATTGAACCTTCACCTTTTGTATACTTTTAGGCCATATTGAAACTGGACTTTGAAGCCCTCTCTCTTAATATAGCCCAGGACTGAGTGGTCGTCGGGATATTTCAAATCCGGCGGGTTATTGTGCGTCGCCTATTAACCTATTTCACGTCATGGCTTTGTCGACTTGGGCAATTGGAAGCTCTGTTAATTCACTTCCTTCTTCTTCTTCTTCCCAGATTACTCCATTTCCAATTTGTAAACCCACAGTCAAGAGAAATTCTCGATCTTCACCCTCGCGTCATATTTGCTGCATTCTTCGTCAAGTGCTAAATCGAATTGAGGCGGTAAAAAACACACAAAAAGTCACAGAGGCCATGAAATTGGTGGCCGCCGCAAAGGTTCGGAGAGCTCAAGAGGCTGCCGTCAGTTCTAGACCCTTTGCCGAGGCCCTTGTTGAGGTTCTGTACAACATGAACGAGCAGCTCCGGGGGGAAGACGTCGAAGTCCCTTTAACAGCCGTTCGTCCTGTGAAAAAAATTGCGCTTATTGTCGTCACCGGTGATAGAGGCCTATGTGGAGGTTTCAACAATGCCATCCTGAAGAAAGCCGAGATTCGTATAAAGGAAGTGACGGATCTTGGCTTGGATTGCACCATAATTAGTGTTGGGAAAAAGGGGAATTCTTATTTTTTTAAGCGGAGGGAGAATAAGACAGTGGATAGTTATGTGGAAGGAGGGAAATTTCCAACCATAAAGGATGCACAAGTAATAGCAGACAATGTTTTCTCTTTATTTGTGAGTGAAGAGGTTGATAAGGTGGAGCTGTTATATACAAAGTTTGTGTCTTTGATAAACTCTGAGCCAGTAATTCACACTTTGCTTCCATTATCCAAAAAGGGAGAGATTCGAGACGTGAATGGGAAGAGCATTGATGTGGAGGGGGATGAATTCTTTAGGTTGAGCACAAAGGAGGGGAAACTAACAGTGGAGATGGATCATCATAGGAATAGCGAAAACAGAAGAGGATTTTCGCCTTATATGCAGTTTGAGCAAGACCCTGCACAGATTCTTGATGCATTGATGCCTCTTTACTTGAACAGTCAAATTTTGAAGGCACTTCAAGAGTCATTTGCAAGCGAGCTTTCATCAAGGATGAATGCAATGAGTAACGCCACAGATAATGCTATCGAGCTGAATAGGAACCTCTCCATTGCTTATAACCGGCAAAGGCAGGCTAAGATCACTGGTGATATATTGGAGATTGTTGCTGGAGCAGATGCTTCCCTTACATAGGGGCATTGTTTAGCTTTAAATCTTCATAGTTTTTGCATGAGTAATATTTTGAGTTGATCAGCAGGAAATTTATATGCCAATGTATTCTAGCTGTAGTAGAATATTCTGAAGTGTAACATGTAGGGCTTTCCTATAACATCACTTAAATAAAATCAATGGTCACTGCAGATTACAAATGCCTGATAGGGACCTGGGCACTACAAATAATAAGAATCCATTTAAGTATTTTAATGTTGTTTAATGTTAGGGTTCTAGGCCCAATAACTTAATTAAGGGCCAGCCCTTTTAGGAGGGTTTTATTAATAATAGGGGGAATCAAGCTTGGGGGGAATGGCCTAAATAAATGTGGAAGCTGAACAGGTTGAGCTGGAGAAAGGAAATAAAAGGGTGGTCTAAATAAATGTGGAAGCTGGACAGGTTGGAGAAAGGAAATAAAAGGCAAACAGATGAGTCAGGAAAAGGAGGCTGGGATTTGGGAAAATTGGGGGATCTGGGAGAGATCGAGGCCCTCTCGAATTGGTCTCGGCTGTATTCTTCTTATTTTCTACGATTTCAATAATATTTTCCACACCAATTCTCTGTGTCGTATCATTGGTATCAGAGCTTCGATCACTGTACCTGTGTATGGTATTCACTCGGTCAAACATGGAACAAAGGATTGAAAGTTTGGAGAGATCACTGGAGCGTTCAAAGGAAGAGATGCGAACAGAGATGCGAGCCTTGCTTGACGAGAAAGTGCAGTTGTTGCTGGAGAAGATGCAAAGTCTCGAAGCTAAGGGTAGTCGCAGCAGAAGAAGGGGACGATCGAGGAACCCTAGATGCCGTTGGAAGTCTGAGAACCATGTCTCATCATCGTCGCAAACTTCGTCTCCAGCAGAAGGTCCCTATCCGCAGGCTTCCTCACTCACCGATACTCGCAGTTCTTCTTCGCAAGCGGCTTCGTCCAGTTCCCAGTTGTTGCAAATCACTCCTCGCAGAACCCTGGACCACGTTAATTCCGAAAATGGATTGCAGGGAATTCCTCCTACAACATTGAACAAGGAGTTGAAGACAGATGCACCATCAGTCCAGGAGCTGGATCCCGAAGACGATACGACTCCACCTACAGGAACTCTACCTGATCAGCAGGAGTATTTGAGACTGCAAGAGGTGGAAGACAAGGAAATTAGTCCAGGATTATTAGGTGCTATGCGCCTTGTGGACTGCTTGTCTCAGGAACATGCATTTGGAAGACATCAGTTGCCAAGAGTTATTGTAGACGTAGACGCTGGCACAGGAACTACTGCCATTGGCTTAGGACTTGGAGTTGTTTTCCTAGTACTTCCGTGGCAAGTAACTACAGACATGCTAGCAGACACTTTTGAGGGGTATAGAAGAGAGGATGAAAGTCTATTATTTGAAATTAGTTTGACTTCTAATTTTTCTAATCCTGACCAGTTCTTGAGGAAAGGTCACGATGCCATCGTTCAATGGGTAAAATGTCTTGATCCAAGAAAAGTTGACAGTGTGTTGAGAGGTGAAATGAAGATATATTCAATAATTACCCGAGAGAGAGGTATTCTGGTTGATCCTGTACACACTCTAGCCGCCTGGAAGTCTGCTATGCAACTTTGTTACAATGAAAGTTCCAAGGCAGCCGTGATGCATCACACAGGAAGAACACTTGGTGATGATGAAGCTGACTTTGTATTCTCAGTTATGGGTTCTGTAAGAGATGAGACATGGGGCATTGAAAGAGATAAAAACCTTGACAAAAAGGATCACTGTGTTGACATAGATAACGAGAGGTTGCCAAAAAGAAGAAAACTATCCAAGCTGAAGTACTGGGAAGGAAGAGGCGCGAGGATGAAGCTGAATGGCATGACTGTATCTTACTCCCCACCTTGAGGACAAGGTGGATGTCAAAGGGGGGAGTGATGATAGGGACCTGGGCACTACAAATAATAAGAATCCATTTAAGTATTTTAATGTTGTTTAATGTTAGGGTTCTAGGCCCAATAACTTAATTAAGGGCCAGCCCTTTTAGGAGGGTTTTATTAATAATAGGGGGAATCAAGCTTGGGGGGAATGGCCTAAATAAATGTGGAAGCTGAACAGGTTGAGCTGGAGAAAGGAAATAAAAGGGTGGTCTAAATAAATGTGGAAGCTGGACAGGCTGGAGAAAGGAAATAAAAGGCAAACAGATGAGTCAGGAAAAGGAGGCTGGGATTTGGGAAAATTGGGGGATCTGGGAGAGATCGAGGCCCTCTCGAATTGGTCTCGGCTGTATTCTTCTTATTTTCTACGATTTCAATAATATTTTCCACACCAATTCTCTGTGTCGTATCAATGCCACATTTTTGTGCATGACATTTTTTACTATTCCCTACGCGTTCTTGGTTTTGAGTTAAACCCCAAATTCTCAGAAGTAGAATAATTGAAAATAAAGTTCACAAATTTTAAACTGATCTTCACTTGCAAAGCAATAAGAAAGTACTCCGTATGAAAGTAGTTCTGTGTGTGTAGATGGAAGCTGAAATTAGCTTATATATTGTGTTATGTGAAAACTTTGGATTTGATAAACAAATGATGCATTATACCGTATGAAGCATTAGCTAATATGGATCGTATGAAGCACATTATGGATGTTTTCTTTTGGATTGTTTTCAGTCCCAGATCAGACCAAACTAGATCAGACCAGACTTGACTTATGTAGTTATAAAATACACAGAAGTCAGTCGTTTACCAGACCAGTTCAGACTAGATCAGACCAAACCAGATCAGACCAGACCAGCAAATTTCAGTCCAAAAGAAAACATCATATATGGTGGCACTACTGTTGTATACTTGTATGATGTAAAATTCCTATCAATGGCAGTTTGCTACACATCATATCCACATATGCATTGCACTTAGAAACAGTAAATTAGGCACCCGTTGAGTTTTCTGTTTTCACTCATAATAGTAAAATATCATTGGGAAAAATTCTGTAAAACTTCTCTGGATCACCATAACCAAAATGGGCATCTTTTAGAAATATTATCCAGACAAATTTGATAATTTATTCTGAGTTTCACACTTGCAAGACATCCTAATTCTTGCCATATTGAATAGATATAAAGATATGAGCTCACATTTTAGAAACTGATAAGAATTTATATAGTTGGTTGCACAACCATAAAAAATGCTAACAAATGTATTACCAAGTATCCTAAAAAGATCATGTTATAATAAAACTCAACTACTATGAATGAAGTGGTGGAATCTAGTAAAGATGCCAAAGTTGTGGGTGAAAGAAGTGAATAATGTCAAACCAGATGTGCAGATTCGAATTCAAAGGGCTAGGGAAAGATAACAAGCTAGATAGTCTTTTCTGGCTGCTTCCATTTCAATGGCTTTGCTCTTAGTCCAAAGTTAAAAGTGGCTTTAAGTCTTATCCACCAAAAAGAGACATCACTTCTGGTATTCTATAGTGTTGTCTATTGTTCTAAGGCTGATTGCAATGCATGGGGTGAAAACCCCAAATGTGAGACTTTCACCCCAAAATGACTGCAACCGGGAGAATTTTTCGTAGAGGGGGGAGTGACCGGGAGTCTGGAGAACCCTGGGGAGCAATCTGTGGCCGGGCAATTGAATCCATCTTGGAGAAAAGTAATTGATTGGCCCACAACTAGTCTGACAAAAAGCAGTGGAGTTAATTGGTGTGAGTCTTGCGGGAGTGTTGCCGACGAAAAAGCCAAAAAGGCCGGCTAGTGGATAGGTTGTACGTATGAAAAAGTGTAGTGGGGAGGGATGGATTCTTGGTTCATTTTTGAAGCTGGGATTTAATCATTTTTTATGCTGGGATTCTTACAAAAAAAATTATTTCACATTTTTTATTTTTTTACATCGAAATGTTTGAGTTTTTAAACAATAATTATTGGGCAAAACAAAAATAACACATAAGTGACGTGTAATAAAATAACTAAGGATATATGCATTTAATTTAAAAAAACAAGGTACTAAGTGGATATATTGACGGTGCTGGGTTGCAGAGAAAAACTGAATTGACTGAGTGAATACGTATAAACAGAAGGGAGGTTAGATTTATTGACGGGTTGGGTTGCGGTTAGCCTAATGGTCCAACTTTATTTTGTCAAGTACTATGCTTGCTTGGATTCGCAAATACTGTCCATTAAAAGCTAATTTCCAAATGGAAAAGAAAAGGCAAAAAAATACAGGCACACACTTTTGCACATTATTTATTGAGGAGACTTTGAGGGTCTAAACACAGGGCTAGCTGTTTTCTGAGAATACTATGAATTGAAGAAAGCCTAAAAGGAGGGCTAAGGTAATTAAGAAGATCCTCAATGGAAACGCTGAAGATTCAACACCTTCAAGCTTTTATTGATGATTCTTTATGCTTAATTATTCAACCAGCTCAAAACTTCTGCTATGCTTCTGTTTTGCAGTGACTGTCCAGAATATCTGAAAAGCCCTTTGAATCTGTTTAAGAAAGCTACATCAGATCCTAGTCAGTGCTAGTTCATCATGTTCTTTGCATGGCTTTCATAGTAAAACATTACTAGTATTATCAAGAATACCTTTTTCTTTTAATAACCAATATAAGTAATGATGTTTAAACTTTTCTCACATTTTGTGCAAAAAGATTCTAGTTTTTTAAAATACAAAATGCCCCATGTGTGAAAAGTAGATGTCAGTACTTGAGAGGAGGAATGGGGGGCTGGTTGTACAGCAAAGGTAGCACTGGCTGGACCTCAATTGGGAGTGAAGAACTTCAAGAAAAAGATGTATGGGACTGTTTCCAGCATGAAAGGGTAAAAGAACTTAGCAGTTCCACTGTCCAACAAGAATCTGCTGCCTCCAGTTGTGTCCTAAGGTTGATGCCAACTGCAGCAAAAATGATCCCAAGAACATCCTCCAACCAGAACCCACCACCCACTCATGAACCCAAAATCATTCAACACTCAGCTCCAGTCATCATACCTGATTGGTCAAAAATATATCAAACTGGTTCAAACCAGGTCACTACTTACACCCCACCATTTCTGAGTGATAATTATGATCATAGTAGCCAAGCCGAGGATGAAGGTTGTGGATTCGTTAGGGGCGGTTGGGATAGTGGCGGTGAAGACGAAAAAGAAGATGATGAATTTGATGATGGCCTGATACTGCCACCACATGAATGGCTTGGTAGGAGGAAGATTTCAGGAAGCAAGATATTTTCTGTCTCGGTTTTTGAAGGTGCTGGGACGACCTTGAAGTGGAGAGATCTGAGCAGACTTAGAAATGCAGTATGGACCAAAACTGGTTTTCTTGAATTATAACTGTATAGGACATTCTTTATTTATACCTTTTGTGATTCCATAGTAGTGATGTTAAATATAGAATTTGGTCCTATGAAAACGTGGCAAGGGTTCTGTGTTAGTTTATCATCCTCCAATGTTGGAATTTCCAATATATGTTTAACACCATGTCTCAGTCAAAATCAAGAACAATACGTTCAATTCTAGAAAAAATAGTGTGTGAATTCCGAAATAATAGCTTGACTGCAAATTTTGTTTCTTTCCCTTTAGGGTTGGAAGAAAATTTGTAGTGGCGGATTAAGAGCATCTCCAATGGTTCTTTTTGAGAACTTACTTGTAATTTAAAGGCTAATAGTTTATCATTGGAGTATTGTTTTTCCTTTTGCTTGAGAAAACTAATTAGCCAAAACGAGTAATTAGCGAGTAAAGAGAATTACTAAATACTTCGTATAACACTATTATTAATAAATGAAGAGAAAGATGATATAGCTAACCGCTAGAGTACATTACACCATGTGTTCGGTCACGATCGTCGTCATCCTTGGATGTCGTTTTCTGAGGGAAGCCTGTAACCTAGTCTCTTTTTCATTAAGTCATGATGTACGGTGGTTGCTTAGTATGTTATTGTTGTTAAAACTCTGGCTGAAATGATGCATGTGATGAATATAATTTCTGTTGTTTTGGTTTAACCATGTATGCGTCATTCGCCTTTAACCATGTATTCGGAAACTAGCCAGCGGCGTCTTCAGCTTGGTCAGCTGATCTTTCTTTAGCTTCATCTTTTCCAACGTGCGTAAATACAGCACGTTCACACTACTCCCCGTGTCCACCAGAACTTGGTGGATCAAGACGTTGTCTATACACATACTCACCACTAGCTCGTCCCTGTGCGGACTTGGTGAGTTGGGTAGGTCAGCCACACCGAACGTAATTGGCTCCTAGCGGCCCTTCTTTGTGGGTGGTGCAGCTACAGTGGCGACATAGAGGCTACGCTCAAATTTCTTACGTTCGGCGGCCGTATCCCCGGTCTCTCCTCCACCAAAGATGACTTTCACTTCCAGTCGTGGCTTTTTTCCCGGATTCCCGGATCCCTCAGCCTCCTCTATAGGGGGGCGGTATGAATCATTACTTGGCTCTGCATCCCGCTGGACATCCCGCTTCCAGCTATTGGATCGGGGAGGGCGCTGGTTGGGGGAAGGGCTGTTCAGGTTGGTGCTGACATACTTTCTCAGGTAGCCCTTTTGGATCAGGTCCTCAATTGCCACATGTAGGGCGTGACAATCCTTCGTGAGGTGTCCATTCCGTTGGTGGTATCTGCAGTAGGCATTCGGGGTAGGTCCCATCACGGGCCTTGTGTCAGTAGGGGGAGGAATGGCATTGTGTTCCAAATGAAAAACACCAACTATAGACATGACCAGGGGGGTAAAGCGCGCAGTCCTTCGATGAGGTGCTGCAGCTGCTGGTGCGGGCCCCAAACGTTCCGCCAGCCTTGAAGTGGGAGGCTGCGGGGCCGTTCGGTCCCTTATCTTGATCTCCTCTTCCAGGGCCGCATGGCCCCTGGCCCTTTCCAGGATGTCTGGGTAGCTGGTTCCCGAATTTCTCTTCAGCTCCCTGTATAAATCCCCCGTCGGAAGGGCATCGGTGAAAAGAAGGATGTCAGTCTCATCTGTCATGCCCGTCACCTTCAGGGTTTCGGTCCTCCACCTGGTCAGGAACCCGGCGATTGATTCCTTAGGTCCTTGCCTCACACTGGTCAGATACCCGAAATGTAGTTTCGGGGTTGTGCTGGAGGCGAACTGGGCTAAGAATAAGGTGGATAGCTCCGCAAAGCTTCCGATCGATCTGGGTTGTAATGTTCCGAACCATTCCTGGGCTGGTCCCCGAAGGGTACTGAAGAACAGCCTGCATATTGCCGCGTCGGTGGCCCCCAATAGCATGAGGCCACCCTGGTAACTCCTCAGGTGTACGTGGGGATCTCCCACCCCATCGTATGTTAAGCCGGTCGAGGGACGGCAGTCCCTCAGGATCTCGGCATTCATGATTTCCCTGGTAAAGGGAGAAGTAATCCCAACCCGTGCTGGTGGGGTTTGTTGGGGCGTCCGATTGACCTGCTCTCTGAGCTCGGTCATCTGTCTTCTCATTTCGGCCATTTCTTCATCTTGGGCCGTTCGGGGAATGTGTGGTATCCTAGCGTCCACATATTCCGGCATTCTGTTTTGGCGAGGGGCAGCTGTGTTAGCTCTCCTCCGGATGAAGCGCTCCCCATCCCTCTGGATATACTGGAAGTGTAGTCCAACGGGGTCTACCATGGGGGTAGGTTCCCTATATCCGTTCCGAGGTGCGGACGGGGTTCGGCTGGTTGGGGTGGCTGTGCATGCCCGTAAGGGTGGGCTCTCCTGCGGTTCCCTCGATGCTCCTGGGAATGTGCTGAGGCCGTGGTGGTCTCAGTGTCTTCTCTTTCGTCAAAGGACGACATAGGATGAATAGGGGATAGAGGCTCATGAGTCTCATCGGTGTATCCCTGTTCCTGTTCATCCGCCATGCGTTGCATGGCCTCTGCCATCTCCCTCATCAACTGAGGGTTCATCCTTACGTCCCGAGGGATGATTTGCTCGAACTCTCGGGTGGCACTGCCACTGGCGTGTCCTTGCATGGACCACCCTTCAGAGGATCTATTGCCTCCTCGGCCCCTGGATGTAGAACTCGGTGTCGCGGTAGTAAGTCTAGCCATTTCAAGAAAAATGGTGCTTAGATCAGCGGTTTTCCTTGGACTTTTAGTGAAGGTTCCCACAGACGGCGCCAATGTTGAGGTTTATTCCCGAAGATCCGAAAGCCCAACACAAGCTTTGGATATTGTAGGGATATTGGATTGGGTTGAAAAGTGTATAAAATATAAAATAGTGAGATAATACTCAACTCAAGAGCTTACTTGTATTCCGTAATTATGCTATTACACTGAAGCTACCCGAACGGTAGATGAGCATGAGATTACAAGGATGGAAGATGTAAATCTATTACTAAGCTCTGAGTATTAAAATGCTAACCCTTTACAATGATCTAAACATGGGTATTTAAACTAAAATGGGGATGGGTAAGGTGGACATGTGGCCGAATCTGGTAGGCTGTCACCTCTGCCATGTAAGCACTCATGCCCCCACTTGCAGCTGTCATGATCCAGCATTAAATGCGGCCTCCACTTGCTGACCGCCCGTTCGGGCAGGGTGTTCGGTGTGTGGGACCCCGTCATAGGTGTTATTTTGTTATGGAAGTATCCCGAACGCCGATCGATATCTGGGCCTTGGTACTTTGGCATAATTGTTTCCCGGAATGTTCCAAGTATAAGTTTTATCCCGAATGCCGTTCGGGAGTTCTTTGGACTGCCTTTGGCCCGCTGCTTCTTTCCGGATTTGGGCCTAGGGATATTGGGCCTGGACCTAATATCCCAACATATTTTTTGTTGTAAATTTAGTTGAATAAAAAAAGAAAAGAAAAAGTGTATCAATAAGGACTAAGAAAGAAGAAAAGTAATTATTATTTGAAAGGCTAAAATTTGATCATAAAATTGTAACAAAACATTCCAGTGTTCTTAAATTAAAAAAAGTTAGTTGGATACACGATAGCTTTTGTTTTTATTTATAGCTTTTAATGATGAAAAAGGTTAAAAGTAAAAAACAAAACATAAAAAGAAACGTAAGTGGGATTATAAAGTGTGAGTGCAGTGTAAGATTGGAGAAAAGCGTTTTTTTTTTAGATTAAACCCGTCATTTTTGGACCAGGAGCATGATGCTCACTGTGGGATCATCCCACGGTATACTGACTGGTCTTTTAGAGGCAAGACTCCTTTTGGAATGGGAAAGTCATTGGATAAGATATAACTTGATCCCCTTTTACCTTGTCAAACATAAGGGTCAGTAGGGTGACATAATTTTATTTAAGACGTTAGACTATCCGCAACTTTATTTCGTCAATAAATGAAATTGTTTGGTGTATTCATTACGTCAATCTAATTTTTCTGTGCAATTCAACACCGCCAATATATTCATCTAGTCAATTTTTTCAAGACATTATATATGCACTATTGGTGTTGTACGAAAGGTAATAAAAAATTATGAATTTTAATACTTCTCTGTATTTTAAAGTTCCATATACTTTTCATTTTTGGATATATTTAAAAGTTCCATACACTTTTCCTTTTTTGTAAGTTTTTCTTTTAAAAATATCCAATTACTCGTACTTTTTATTCTCTCTTTCCTACTTTTTCATCTTCTCTCCTACTTTTTCTATACTATTAACTACCCCTACTATTCTTAATGTATGGAACAAAAAAATAGGGAGGGAGTATATTTTTTTGTAAAAATAGAAATACAAATGAAAAAGTTATATGAGTTTATCTCTTACTTTTTGTTCTTTGCACCTTTTTCTCTACTTTTTGCTTTTTCTTCTCTCTTTTCGGAGTGAAAATTGGGTTGGTTATTCTCGACTAGGGGTGGACTCGGGCCGGGCGGCCCGGCCCAGAACTGGACCGGCCCGGTACTATTTGGCTGGCCCGGTACCTGGTCTTGGGTTCGGTTCGGGCCACCCGGAACCACTCCTATCCCGGTTTAGGCTCGGGCCCCCTAAAATGCGAACCGGCCCGGCTTGTTCGGGCCTTTTTTTTGTTTTTTTAATTTTTCTTTTTAATTCTACCGGGTTGGGCTGGGTGCTTGGGGGGTCGGGGGGTAAAGGTGGGGGGTCGGGGTTGTTTAGAAAACTAAAAGCAAAAAAATAGGCCCGAACCGGAACCGGCCCAACCCGGTATTGTTTGGGCCCGGCCCGGCTTGGAACCGCCGGCTACCCAGGCTGGTTCCGGTTCCATCATTTCCAAATAAAAGTCCGGCCGGGCCTAGGCCTGAATCGGACCCGGCCCGGCTCCCGACTCTAAGTTCTAGCCATTCATTTTCCCCCTATCCTATACCATTGATTATACAAGAATTTAGGGTGAAAACATTAATTTTATTCTTTTCACTCCAAGATTGCAACTAGTCTTACTACAATCACCCTAGACCTGGACAAAAGCGTGTTCGGGCCGGGCTCGGGCCGAGCTTTTCATAAGTTTTCTAGCCATTGTATGTGGGCGGGCCCGGCCCGGCCCGTAAAAACGGGCCTAACCCCACGTCCATACCCGCCCGTAAGAGCGGGCCGGGTAGTCCACCGGGCCGCCGGGCCCAGGAAAACTTTAAATTTTTCAAAATTATATAATTTATTTAATACTTTATAAATAATATTACAACATTTAAAAATTGCTCTTACACTTATAATGTATATAGGCCTTTCATCACATACACAAAAATAATAATGAGAAAGTATATCTAAAATTTAAAATTCAAACACAAAGTATTATCTTTAAGTACAAAAA